CACCACCTTGATCGGCACCGGGGGCCAGGCAGGCAGGCAGGTGTGGGCAACGATAATTTTGTGCGCTGAATACCATGAGAAAATATCAAAGGATGAGGCACGGGCTTGGTGTGCCACCCCCTGGCTACGCCACTGGTGGATGGAAACCTGCGTGGTCAGGTACAGGCATGATGACGAACACCCAGGAAGGAGGACGGTGCTCGCGCAGACTGTGGTAAAAGTTACCGTGGCGAGAGAAGTAAGCTTTAGCATAGACTAGGGTGCACATCTATGATCTAAGAAAAAAGATTTAGTCGAACAGGCTTGCCATACACGCAAAAGCAACTGGCCACGAAAAAGACTAGAATAGGGTAAAAATAACGAAGACAAAGGGAATAGAACTGTACTTCCGAGCTATATCTTGACTCTGACAATTCAGAGTCTCATTTTAAAATATACATATTCAAACTGTTCGCACATTTATTTTTCATTGTGAACGAGGGTTTCGTGCGGAAACTGGAACGTTCTGCTTCTGTGTGAACTTTCATGGTTTGTGCTGACTTTGACCCCATGGGCTCCAAATAACAACCACAACAAAAAGGAAAAGATGACAAGTGTCCCTGCCAGCAATCGCGACGGAGGCATTGCATACATAGCGCACTGTGGCACGCCGCAGGTAACGTTTACTGCAACTTTCGCATTGCGTGATCTTAGAATCAAGTCAGAGCGATACGGTGCTGTTCAAAAATTAAAACACCGTGAATTCACCCTTAGAAACAACGCGTCTAACTATCAGTGCCCTTCCCCTTCTCCCACCTCCCTCCCCTGTTCGCTCACAAGATAGGCGCGCACGCATGTGACCGCGGTTGGAAAGCCGAGGTTCGCTCGGCAGAGAGAGAAGGATAGTGCATACTTCTCCATATATATATATATATATATATATATATATATATATATATATATATATATATATATATACACACTTGAGCCCGCTTATAACGAAGCCCAGCCTGACGCGGCATCTGTTCGCTATATCCCAAGTTCGTAGTAAATTAAACGCAAATTTTTAAAAAGTTGCGAGCAAATACACAAAATTTTTTGCCCGAAAAAAGTCCGTGACGTGCATGTTTCGAAGAGCAGAAGCAATAAGGGCGGTCTCGCGCTCGCTTAAACCGGCAGGGTGCTCGTTCACCGAGGCCCGTGGCATAAGCTGCATGAGGCACCGGCTCTAAAGTTTCATCATTCTCGCAATCCAATTCCTCCAAATCGCTCTCGCCACGTACTTCATTCACAATCCCCTAATCTGTACACGGTTCCGCACTATCGGCATCATCATCGGCCGATAATGATGCCGACACAACAGATGAAACCGTTGCGACGAATGAAACCGTCACAACAGATGTCCCACCCGCTCTCTCATTTCGAAGTCGACGACGCGCTGCCACAAATTGCCACCACAGTGGTTCTGTTCCGAAGCTTCAGATTTGGCATCGGGCCCGACGTCGACCAAGTCGGCCTGGCGAAAATAGTTTCGCGTGCATGTAGCCGCCACCGCCGCCACACTATCTCCACAGCTGAATACATGGACGCCCGAAATGGCAAGTTGGCTGACAAGTAGTCAACAGCAAGCGCTTCGCAATGCGGCACTTAACGTGTGGATTACGCCTAAACCAAGCAGTCCCATTTTTAACGTTTTATTGAGCGGGAGGAAAAAGTGTGCAAGGCCTCCCACCCGCCATCCTGACCACACACGTGCACGTACACCAAAAGCGAGCAAGACGCGCACACACGACACACATGCCAGAATGCGTGGAATGGCTCTAGGCCCGTTTCTAGTCAGAAAACGAAACTTCTGAATTGGAGCCAGCGTGGCTGGCATCGCGGAGCGGTGGAGACGAGCGAAGGATGATCAAGAGAGGAGGGCAGATTTGCAAAAGAAGGGCAAGGAGTTGCAATAGGGTGAAGAGAGGAGGATGCGGCGAGAAGGCGACCTTAAACACGAAAACACGTGGGAAGGAGGCAGGTCGGGTAGCTTGCTTGAAAAACTCGGGCGTAGAAAAACTTGAAGGAGTGCCTGAGCGTGCGGAGGTCAAAGCACAGCCACCTGTATCAGCGGTCACGGCAGTGTTCAGTGCACTGGCACTGAACACCGCCGTGCATTGGCACTGAACATTGAAGTACCTACTGGCTAATGCGAGTAGTACGTGTTTGGTTTATATTTATGTGTTATATTACGTGTTCATTACATTACGGTTATATTACGGTTACGTTACGTTTATATTACGTGTTTGGTTTGGCCACTGAAGTGTCTTTCATTTTCAAATTCTTGGCTAAACTTATGTGGGACACCCTGTATATAGGCACTGGATCTTCACCTCCAAGGTAGTGCCGGTGGGAGATTTCTCCAATGCATTGCTGAACAATGAGAATTCCCAGCGTGCGCATTGACTAGAAGCGGATGGCGGGTCTCTGTGTCCAATAAAGTCTTCTGTTCTTCACTGCCCATTAGCAGCGCTTGGCATGTTCCAGTAGGAAAACACAAGTCCATCAAGCCTTGCACCTCCCGAGGTTACTCTCCTGCGCAGCGCCACGATTAAGGCCAGTGTCAATGTCGCTACCAGTGTTAGCGTTAAGGCCCATTGCTTTGCTTCTACACGTGGTTCTCTTTAGCGGGAGACGGCGTAATTTTTTTTTGTCAGTGCAACGCAAGCAGGCAGTCATTTCGTTCTGTGACAAAGAAATTCGTCGGGGTGAGCTCTAGGAAGATAGCACCTACAAAAGAAAAAGTAAAAGGTAGCGTGACACCACATGTTACTGAAAATTGGTAACCTAGGTACTTAGGTTACCCATTACAGTTCTGAAGTTGTAATAAATATGCTACCATGTTACCAAAAAAGTAAGGCAACAATGGCGTCCAACACTAATTTTAACTGACACTACACGTACACATTTGTATGCGCGCCTGATCAAAGAAGCTGCCCATCCGTTTGTCGCATAAGACACAAATTATATGAAGGAGGGGCAAACTCTAAAACTGCTCTGAAATACTGGTGAATTTAAGACTGCAAAAAGCAATCTGCTGCTTAACATTAACAATAAAATAAAATGTACATATTGGCACCCCTCATGCTTTCTCAGTGGCACAAATACGGGAGGATCACTAGTTCACCGAAGAAAATGGCCAGCAGGGCACGTTGATGCATCTTAGCAGATAACTTACCATGAGAGTATTCTTTTACTTGCTTTTTGAAAACAAGAAACGTTGTTGGTGGGCAGCTGAGTGCGTCACACACTTATTGAAAGGGGAAATTTCAAGCTCTGTGTGATTTAGAAGTAAATATCATTCCAAAAGTAACACCAACCACAGTAACAGCTTTTTTTTCCTTGAAAACAAGAGTCATACCTATCTGAGAACAGCGAGGTGAACTACCACCACACTGTCAACTTCGAGGTCAATTAGCAAAAGCGGTGTCTTATGGAGTGCTGGCTCCTTCAGGCAACAGCCAGTAACGTGAACTCATCTGCAAATGCGCTGTCACGTTTCTATTTCATGAAATACGGCACATCACTCAAAACAAGCGTGACCCCATGACTTGAAGAGAAGGCGTAATAAACTGTGCTGTTTTCTAGTGCCCTCCCTGCCATTCGTCACCCCTTAAGAAAGGTTCAAGCTGGACCTGCATGTTTTTGTTCTCATTTTGAAAGCAAAACACAATTTCTTTTGCTTTTATTAAATACTGTCAAATAATATTATTAATAATAATAAATACCTCTAATAATTACTGCAGTGTCACTTCGCCATTCGCGCTTGCAGAAGACATACACGCGCACCGTACGTGTGTGATTCTGTGGGGTAAATACAACATGACGCTATGAAGGAGAAAGGTGCCAGGCCTGCACAGAACATGCCATACACTCCTCAGCCCAAGTTGGAAGAGCGAGCATTGGGGAGTACATTGTAAACTCTAGAAGGGTGACTAAAAGAGAGGGAGATATATGGTATGAAGAGAGGCAGAGAGATTAACCGAAAAGCAAGTATCTGGTAAATTTGCTACCCTGCACTGTGGAAGCCAGGACAACATAATGCAAGGTTTTCTGAAAATTCGGGAGTCTTCGGTGCAAATAGGAAAATCGGCAGGCATGTGTGTCTCGAACAATCACGCACGTTGACGTTGCGAGACCTAGGTGCACAGCTGCCAGCCTCTTTTTCGCACATCGTTCCAACTTTCATGGATGTCTGATTGCGAGCACATATTTTGTATGGACGTGGCAGGCACATCCAAACACAGTACAATGATGCTTGCCCCGAGTACAGCTGCACGCGTCGACTCAATGACAAAAACACACGCATTGCCACAGGTTGCAATGCTAACGCCACCTGTAATTTATATGCACAGGCACATGAAGGCGCATTGAGAGCTGCAAAATTTGCGCCTGTTATTTTGGAGGCTACAGAGCGAGGGTCATTCCCACGTTTGGGTTCTTGTGTCGTGCTTGATCGCTGCATTCGTGCCTGCCTGCTAGTAAGTATGTATCAAACTTCACGAGATGAAATTGAATTTGTAACAACCATACTACATTACGATAGAGTTAATGAGCCTCGGCCAGGACCACAGGAAAATTTGTATCACCCTGATATTAGTACGAGCCGTGAACGTACCACTGAAGTTGCTCTAGTCTATAGGTGCAGCATATTGATATACTAAAAAACACATAGAATGGGTAGCGTTTTTTTTGCATAAATCACACAGTGGAGCAGTAGTTTCTAAACTCATGCGTTTAAACGAGTTGCCACGACGCCAAGAACCATTTCTCACGAAATAACACTGACCGGTGCGAGGCAATCTTGTATTGCTTTTTCACTTAACTCGCGACATTCATACCGTCAAATGATTCGTCCGTAAAAGAAGATAATCCACTGTTCCTGTGAAAGGTTATAGGACATGGCTAAAGGCATGTAATACATTCATGCAATCATCCTGATAATTTTGTTAGCTTCACACGACATGAAATGTTGTTACCTTGAGAAACTTGTGGTTTTCCTTCCATTCCACTTCTGTGTCAAACCTGAGATAAGGGTGCACTGCGTCGATGATAACAGTCTGCGTCATGACGCTCGACACACCAACTGTGAATTTCACTCTGACAGCTGCTTTCAGGGGCCCCTGCTCCAATATGGTAGCTGGTTCGAGTACCTGCCATTAAACAAAAAACAGATACATCTCGACACTGAATCGTCAAGTGGCTCAGGAAATAAATCTCAACGCCGTATAGCCAGCTTACCATCGATCCACAATTCACACACTTGGTCATTTCCAACTGCCGTTCGGTAATCTTGACAAGCGAAAGGCAAATAAAGTGAAAAAAAAAAAAAAACATCTTCACGTCAGCAGGGACCAAATCTTCGAATATTGCGTACGACGATTCAGCAACGGCACTAATAGGCCAATAATTCTCGCACTCCGTTTATTGGGGTCATTGAGTATGTTCAATCCTTGCAGCATCAGCAAGTTTTGTGCTGTCGCAACCTGCTAGGTCCGGTCCTTACAAACAGGAAATTTGTTTTCGGGATCCTTGATTCATTACTGTTTATGTCATAATTGTTACAGCTCAGCTCAGAAATAGAAATAGCTCTCTCTTAGTTTTCCTTTTCTGTTAGCTGTCTAACAAGACATAAATGGTCCTCTCATCCATTCTCCTCCTTTAAAAGCAATATTAAATACCCAACACATTCGCTTATATTTTACCTTGCCAAAAACATGCTCTAAGGGTATACTACATTTTTGGCACACATGTTTCGAATTCTGGTTGAGGTTTATATATTTTGTGAATGCTTCTACATCATTAAAACACTCGAGAGCACTTGCAATGCTCAAATGAGCATTAGGTTAGAAAGACTGAAAGCAACAAGACTTCGAAAAAATCGCGATGACTATGGGATATGAGTGGCACCCAGATTGAAAAATCACTGCTCTCGATATTATGTTTATGCTCCTTCAGTTTATAAATTCCATGGCAGACGTGCAAGAACCGAACTAGAATTCGAAGCAATTTTAGGACCAGCAAAATGCTATTTTTTGAGGACTAAAATACAAATTTGGAGCAGGTAGAAAAAAAAAACATCGATTTTTCATGATAACACACCAAGTTTAGAGCAGTATAAAATAGAAGGCTTATATTAAAGAATGTATATATGTAAACACCATTCAATATCGCTTAAATCATGTGGAGGGAACATGTGCACTGATATTTCAATAAAAGTAGTATTTAGAAACACCCACTAAGAAACATTACAAAGTCCACATTAGCATTTGCCGCACCTCTGAAACCCTTTGACAGACTCTGCGTACTTAAGTGTCGATCTGCCAAGCTGGTGACTTTGAAATTCAGGGGATTTGTAAAACATAAGAGTAAAAGTGGCAAAAAAAAAAAAAAAACGAATTGCCACACAGTTTTTTAGGGGGCAGAAATATTATACACTGCTACAAATGATTGCCAGTAGCTTTTCTACACATGAGTGATCATATGAGTCCTCACAGTTATGTGTCGCATTTATGCCTGAGTAATTAAACAAAATGTGCTGAGTCTCGTGCCTATAGTAATGCCAACCCCCTTCCAAATCATAGAATTTCTCGCAGGGCATCAGCGCCTTGCACAGGTTGAAATATGGCAAGGGAACTTTCGAAAACCGCTACACCCTCTCCCCCCTATTTTAAATGCGAATGAATTTCTTAGTCAGGCTATGTAAGGCATGCGGCGGCACCTGCGCACCATCAGCGGGTTGGCAGATATTCTCTCTTGGCTTCCACTCCCTCTCTCAAGCGTGCATGCTTATTCTCTTTCCTAGCAACTGAAGCAAGCGGTGCAGGCGGAGTAGTGGAGAGTAAGTGCAGAGAAGGAGCACACTCTGGCGAGTGAGGGAGCTCGCATCGCGGGAGCTAGGAGGAGCTGCCGCGTGTAAAGGCAGTGTAGGAGAGAGTATATGCAGTGCTTCACTGCTCCTCTCGCGGTTTGCTCTCTCTCCTCCATGCGCCCCACTCTCCCGTCTGCTCACTCGTACGTATATATAAAAGGAGTGAAGTGCGCACCTCATCCTTGACCGTTTCCTGGCTGACGAATGTGTAAATAAATGGTTACGGTACAAATCCTCATCTAGTCATTATTTTTTGCCATTAAATTACTATGCTGCGCACTCTCGGCGCACGAAATACTTTCGCATTTTCTCAGGGGCATTTTCTTTTGATGGGGTTATCTTGAGGGCATAACTACTGGGCTCGCTCGCAAGGTGCGTTTGACCAGATGAAGTAACCAAGGCGCACCGCACCTTTGGCCCAGCGACAGCACCAGATATCTATGTGGCTTTCGCATCGAATATTTATGTGGTTTTAAGGTAAGTTCGTTTGCGTACAAAGAGTTTAGGAGTGCAATAGACTTCAGAACTTCCTGAAAAAAAAAATTGATAAAAATATGCGATTTGTCCCGTATTTCACTGTATTTCTCGTACTGAAGAAAAAATTCTGATGATGCGGCATTTCATAGACCACTATGGTTAAGTAATGAAGAAAGTACAACCACATCATGTTTTGTTTTAGGAAAGGAAATAATTTTTTAAATCGCCCTCAAAAGGCATCCTACATTTATTTGTCGTCACATTACCCTCAAAGCATGTGGTCGGCCTTTCAGCTGACGCTTGTCAAAGCAAGCAGCAGTGTATAAGATGTATGTCAGTGGCTTGTGAGTCGTCGAAAGTCTTGCTGCTTTGATGTCAAGGCTTCGAATATTGAGTTCGCCTTATGCTGTGAGCTAGCTTGGCATGCCCGTTGGAAAGTATGTTTTAAAGGCGTACAGCCGGCTGCAGTATCGTTGGAAGATTGTACTGCAAGGCTTTCTGCATAACCAGTGTACGTAAGAGAAAGTGTACAAAATGTGCTTTGTCTCAGTCTCTGTGTACTATTAGGTCTGTGTGCTAGGGTGTAGCCCGTAACCTCAAAAGGATAGCTGGCAGGTGTGATGTCGACACTGTTTTTTCTGCCCCTGAGAAGCTGGCTAGCATGTGTAGGGCTATCAAACCGCGAATTGGAGAAACCACCACCTGCGCGATTAAGAATTAGAATAAGTTTTTTCCATGAGTTCAAGGTGTGGTGTATTGCCTACCATTGTCCCGTGAAAAACGATACATAGGCCAAACTGGCGAATGTTTAAATGAGCATCTCGAGAAACACGCTCACAGCGTTTCCTCCACAGGCCAGGTAGGCATTCATTGCCGATATTGTGGGTGCGTCCCTGATTTTCATTTATGTGCTGTTGTCAAGCGGGACCAGCTAACTCGTAAAATACTGTAGGTCCAGGAGACAGCTATGCTGGGTGAGTAGGCCTTCAGTTGCCCTTTCAGAAAAGGAGGTTGTATTTTTATCAAGTTGATTGCACGCGCAAGAAGCATGGTTTTTATGATGCTCACATATAATTTATCTTCGACTATCACTTTTCTTTCTTCTTTTTTTATTTCACTGCATATGCATGGTTTGAAGAGTAAACTTTCGTGGTAAGTTCACGCACTATACGTGTCCTTCTTTGTGTGGTTTCTTGTTTTTCCCATTGTTTCCTTGTCATACCAACACTCCAAACAACCCCTTTAGCTAGAAAAGGCCAAGACACTCTTAGGGGCATCGCTAACAGCCTCCGCTTGCAATCTCTAGCCAACACCGAGGTCCCTGATGGGGTAAAGACAGTGGAACAAAAAAATCTTAGGCACACGAAGGGCAGGGAAGTGGAAGGAGAACGAGGCAAGCAGAAGGGCACTGAAGGCGCAGACTGGGTTGCGGAGCCGGGCCTCCAAAATGGCCTACGCCTGCTGGTTCCCGTTCGCAATCGAGGCGATCATAGCAATATCTGTGAACACCGCCTGTATGCCTATGGTGTTCGGTGCTGGCAGGTAACATGGCAGCAAAAGGCAGGCTACGGGCCAGAGTTCTGCGTCCAGCTGCCTGGCCGGCTTGCACTTGGTTTCTCGGCGTGTCACCCAGATCATTTCCGTTTTGCCACTGGCCGCGACCCACCTGAACTCTAAAGTCAAGGCCTGCCTCTGCTCCATTTTTATGCAAGCATTGTCCAAGACTTCGACAGACTCATGAGCTCAAACTTCTATTATTCACAGCTCCACCGCTCAGCCGCGTCCAAACTGGAATGTGCACAGGTGTGTGCATAAGTCTGCGTGCAGACCACGGAATCACGTGGCCGAAGGCATCGACGCACTATCTAGCGATGAGACGCCTGCTGTAGTGTGCAGGCATGTCCCGTCGTATTCCTTGACCTCTCATGTCACTCTCTCCGACGAGCTAGTAGCCCAAAAGACACTTGGCTGTCGCTGTCTTTGCTCCATCAAATTCGCGCCATTTTTTTTTTTTTACGCAGAGGCTGCGATAGTGTCGGTTCCAGCACCAGGATCGCGTAGTTATTTATGCTGGTTGATTCATAGCTAAGCCTAGCCAGCCTCCCAAAACCTGATGAAGGAAAGCACACAAAACTAAATTTTCTCGGCTCAGGTTACCGTCGTAGCGTTTGGTCAAGCTGAACTTAAATGAGCCTAGTTAAGTGAATGTAAGTGTAGACGAATCTAGTTCAGCCTACTAGTTGCGCGTGGTATCGCCTGATTGATTTGGGCGTAAGTATACCTGATTGATTTGGGCGTAAGTATAAGCTTATACCCAGTCCAGGTTGCTGTTTTTATGTTAACCCATATGTACCCAAACGTAGGAAAATTAACAAAACTAATTTATTTCCCCTTATGATTGCTTGTATGACCTCAGAAAACAGAATAAGACTTCTATTGAAAAAAGAAAACACTCTTTCGAACATTGGTTTTGGAGCTGCCTTATATGTAGGACACCAATGTTTGACACACCGTGAACAAAAAAAATTAGCGCCTATCACTGTCATACGAAAGTTACTGCACACCAAATAACTGACAAACAATCAACAAAAATATCAGCATCAAAAATAATTTGACTATATATTACTTATATATATATTTTTTTCACGGTATGGCACTCAGCTACATGCACACCAAATAACCATTTTGTGACAGCAAGCACGTTGCTATTTTTAGCCCAGCAGTCACCTAGACTTAGGTGTGACGAGGACAGGGTATCGTAAACACATCTTAGGTAGTGCTACTTTTTTGACAGAAAAAAACATTCGAGTAACACTGAAAAGTTTTATGTATGTAGGACACTGAGCATATACGGGTTAAGTATAGTAAAGCTTTGATGTGCCCAGATTGGTCGAGAAAAGCAAACCTACAGCCAAATCAAATTATGCAGAGTTGATCATGCTATCATTTCATTTACCCGAGCAGAATTAGTGCAAATAAGGCAAACCTTTTCGCACCAACTAATCCAAGTTGACTTCCCCATGAACGAGATAATCAGGTGCAGCCATGGACCATTAACCCGAACGAGCTGTGACACGATGCCTTAATGAACTGGCAACTGGAGACCGACTACCTACGTTAAGTTATGTATTGACAGCTTTGACATAGTTGCTTTGATAGACACAGGAGCTGACTATTCAGTGATGCATGAACTATTCACTGCGAAAATGAAGGAGGTGCCAAGCCCTGGATGATACTAATTACTCCTTACTGACACTATACCAATCAAACTAATTTATGTCAATTTAATGTTAGTTAAGATGCGTACTAGTTATGCTTGATTATTTGTCTGATATCCAATCACACACAAAACATACTGGAGTTTCACGTGGGATAATTAGGCTATCTATGCATAACTATAATGAGGCAGCACTAAGGTAAGCATGGAAAAGCTGACTAAGTGTGGTTGATCATAGCATCATCAAACTAGTCCGATTATAATTAGATGTAATTAAACAATTAAAGTAATTGAAGTTGAATTTTTATGAGCTCAGAGAATCCAAGCTGAGAAAGACACTAATTAGTAATCACCGTGTCTAGTATCTTACAGTTAAATTATATCTAATTAGCCTTAAAAACAAATTTTAATTGTGTCCTCAAACTTATCGCACTTGTTTCATCATAACTAGGCTCATTGAAGTTCATTGAAACAAAGGCAAGCTGAGCTGAGAAAACTTACTTTGTGTGCTTGGCTTCATCAGGTTTTGGGAAGTTGGCTATGTTTAGTTATGCTGATAAACTGGTATAAATAACAATGCAAGCCTGGCGCTGAAATCGGCACCGTTGCAGCCGCTACGTAAAAGAAAAGAAAAGAAAAACAACAAAACAAATTTCACGAAGCAAGGACATAAGAGGCCGACTGATATAACAAGATGCACATGTACACCGCAGCAGGCGTCTCTTTGCCAGATAGCGCATCGATGCCTTCTGTCACGTGATCCCGTGCTCTGCACACTTATGCTCACGCCTGCACATTTTTGCTTATATAGAGCAAAAAGGACGAATACAGAAAACAGAAGGGACACAAATGAGCCTTCTGTTTTCTGTCTTCGTCGTAATCAAAAGAGTGGATTCGTACCAACTGGCGCAAGATTGTGAAATACATTGTGAAATACCCCTTTGTGTGTCTTTATAGCGTATTACCCTGTGCAGTAAACCTTTTGTTAAGTGTGTTATTTGATATGGATAATTTTTCGCTCTGTTATATTAAAAGGTCTGCATGCATTGTTTGAGAAACAAACCACTTGTCCTTTTTCATGCTTTCGGAAGCTCTGCCATAGAAAACTATTATCACAGGCAGGCAGGCGAGGTCACGCCAAGCCTAGCTACCACCTCCCACAATTCACGTCAACTGAATGTCCTTTATTTCTGTATGTCTTACCATCACTTTGCTGACAACAATATAGATCAGCTGAACGCAATTTGCGCACCTTCTTGCATCATTTAAACATCGGTTAGACTGTGACACTGAGAAACGTAAGGGCAGTCAAAGCGCACCTGCTTAACCGCTGGCCTTCCAGTCTCAAGGTGGTAGTCCATGACGTCCCAGGCATCCCAGTAGAGCGGAATATCATCGAACATAACAAACACATTTGCTAGTCTGTCTGCACAGACAAGCTCTTTGGAACCACCCAGGATCTTCAGCGACGAAACTTCACAGACGTTGTTCAACTTGGCCTCCAGGAACTGGTTGCGCAGTCGAATCACGCCAGGAGCAGTTTCCACTGAAAAAGCAAATTTTTAAGAGGAACTTGATGGCAAAAACGTTATATCCAAAAGCAATTTCGATTCGACTTTATCTACCAAACCATGACACCTCCTTACAAGGGCTTTTTCGCTACCCCTAGTGCATGCTTTACCGTTGAATAAAGTTCTACAGACAAAAAAAAAAAAAGAATTCTCTAATGTTTTTTGAATGGCCCGAAAGATATAGAAAATTGCTTGTGTTTGTAAATACTGTGGGAACCTCGTGCTTCGGTTATCAAGAGATAGCGCCACGTGTTGCACAGTAGCGGTGCCCGTGGCCCATTTGCGCTCTTCAAAAGGGCCAGACTGGGTGCTGCCCAGGGAGAGCCGCCTGGGCTGCCACGAAGGACGGAGACTGTCACCCACGCTGGCTGATTACTGCTGCTTGGAATCGTGGTCGCTGCGTAGCTGTTTCGTCCTTGGGCTGACCCTACCGTAAGCCGTGTCTAGTTAAATGTTTGTTTTTGATGTGAAGCCTCCATCATCCTCGCTTTACCTACGGACAGGGTGCAGCAAGCCTGACACCCACAATTGGGGCCCAACGTGGTTTTTGCTCCCGCCAGTAGGAATGGCATGGTGAACGTAGGTCCGTAGTTTGATTTGGCTGACGAGCTTACATCCACAGGAGCTTTTTTAGGTGCGTGTGTTTTTTGTTGTGTGGTATCGTTTTTCATTTCATGATGCAAGCAGACGGAAAGCAGCTTCGTTCCGGAATGATCTTACTCGTCGGCGGGAAAGAGAATTCATCTCTCCAGCCGGCGAAATAGCTGCTGGCACAGCAGTTGGACACATTTGAGCGTGTCGCTGAGTTATGCAACACAATCATATACTGCGTGAGCAGTCTGGCCATGGAGCCACAAAGGGTAAGTGGGCTCCAGCTCTGACCGCAGGTCAAGCTGCCCACAAATGCGGGCTTTACGATGACCCTAAATTCGTAGCTGACTTTCTATATGAAGTCCTAAATTCGTAGCTGACTTTCTATATGAAGTAGACAGCTATGCCAGAGCTACTAGAACCTCAGAACATGATGGGTCGAATCCTGTCGTAAGCTTTATGGGGTGCTGCAGGATGATTGTGGAGGCTACAATCACCTTTTACTACATGGGCAGATTTTCCGAGACGAATTCCTGCCCCCTAGGTACGAGCAGCGAGTCCAGGGCGAGCTCGAACTGAGAACCCAACATCTGGACAAAAGTTTGCTCGAATATGTCCGGAAGAAGCAGGAATTGCATCACTGAGCAGCACCGACTGCCTCGAAAAGGGACAAAGTCGCTCGGGTCATTCAACAGAGTCATCCCAAATTCAGGCCATTTTTTTTTACAGGCACACATTCGAAACCCTAGAGCAGCTTGCACGGGAGGCTCATGGTGTACAAGACGTCCTGTTAGCTGACAGCACTTATGTGCCACCGCCATTGCCTCTATCTGCTCTTCAGCCATCGCTGGCTTAGCATGCACCCGTTGCCAATCCCTCATGCGACCTGACGAGCCCAGGCACAGTCACAGTGGTCTCCTCTCTCATCCTGAACCCCTTCGCATAAGAGCAAGGGCAGCCTGGGGCCCCATTCAATACCATATCTGGGGTCCGCTATTCCTGGGAGCGAGTGTCCCTGGAGCAGTGTCAAAGTGCAAAGCACTCGCTCCTTACTCGAGCCAAAGAGCATAGTCGGCTAGACCCCAAGTCCCGATGTGCCGTGTTCACAAGTCCTGCGAGAGTTGACTGAGACAGGCACTCCTGTAATAGCTACTCTGGGGACCACTTTGCCGAAAGGCGTGACTTCAGTACTGGATAGACTAACTTCCCAACGCAGACATGGGCAAGTCGTATCCTACCAGTGCTGTCGTATTGGTCATGTGTGACAGCAATGTTTTGTGCGCCGTAGCGCGAATACAGGTCATTCTAAAAACTCCTGTGGCCGGCGACACTAAACAATGGCGGTGTATTGCAGCCCATGGCCATCAATGCCAGGAGCGTGGAACGCTGCCCGGTACCTGTAGACAAGGAACAACAAGCTGGTGAGCCAGTCATTGTTTTCACTGTTTGCTGCATAGCACAGGTGGGGTCACCAGAATCTACAATGAACATTAAAGCACATGATGACTGATATGTGGGGTTTAACGTTCCAAAACCACCATTTGATTATGAGAGACGCTGTAGTGGAGGGCTCCGGAAATTTCAACCACCTGGGGTTCTTTAACGCGCGCCTAATTCTGAGCACATGGGCCTACAACATTTCCGCCTCCATCGAAAATGCAGCCGCCGCAGCTGGGATTCGATCCTGAGACCTACCAATCAGCGGTCGAGTACCTTAGTCACTAGACCACTGTGGCGGGGCAACGTTAAAGCAAGCACTGAGAATTATCGTACCAGCACTTCTCGATATTGACTCAGGAGTCTCTTAAAACGGGGACGCATTGCTGGAACAGTGTAAAGCTAAAAAGCTGGAGCTTTGTAATGCAAATATTCCTTTGAGAATGGCATTAAATCATGTATCAAATGCTGAAGCTTGTGCTGGCTTGCGGATAAGCTTTAATGGAAAAATGAAACGCTAGCGATTTGTTTGTTTGCCTGGTCTATCAGTGTCAATGCTTCTCGGCCGAGATTTTCTTGCAGATGAGGGGTTCATGCTCAGCTTTCCGGCAAGAGGATACCGCTTTTGTGGACAGTCTGGGACGATTCCCTTTGCAGAGAAAAGAGACATAATGCCGATACGAAGAAGCACAGAAGTCGTGGGAGCCGTGCAAACCACAGTGCCATCAGCCGTCGTGCGGTCCCTCAGCAAGTTCCCGGGCCCAGAACACCAGCGAAAGCAGTTGGAGGGCGTGCTGACACTGTTCTCGGGAATTTTCACAGAACATCTTGAGAGGACCGATGTCCTTGTGCATTGCATCAACAAGGTGACTGCTAGCCTTGCTGTTGTAACCTGAGACCGCTGAGCCAGCACAAGCGAGCCCTTCTCAATAAAGCACTGGACAAGATGCTAGACACTAGAGCTGGGCGACCCTCGGAAAGTCCGTGGGCCTTCCCAGTTGTACTGGCACCAAAGAAAGACAGTATGGCATGGTTACTGCTAGCTCAACCTGGTCACGGTGAGGGATTCTTATCTTATGCCAGAAATATCAAGCATAACCTCAGCTCTTGGAAATGCGAAGTTCCTCACCACTGTAGATTGCTCTTGTGGGTACCTGCAAATAGAAGTTCACTCTCAAGATATCCCAAAAACGGCATTCGCAAGCTATAGAGGATTGTTTGAGTTTGTGCATAAGCCTTTTGGTTTTGCTAAGAGTCCGACTTTCTATTAGCGCATGATGGATATGGCTTTGGGCAATGCAAAATAGAATTATGCACTTTGGTACCTTGGTGATGTGACGATGTTTTTGTGCACGTTTGAAGAGCATCTTGAACACTTGCATACAGTTTTACAACCCATGTCAGCAGCTGGTCTAACAGCTCCTTCTGGGAAAATGCAGCTCGCTACTGACAAGATCAACCTGCTTGGGTTTGTTGTTGACAATGGTGGACTACAGCCAAACTCAGATAAGCTCCGTACAATCGTAGATTTCCTACCACCCCGAAACACTAAGAGTTTGCAAAGGTTTCTGGGAATGATTGCTTTTTATTGTGAATTCATTACACAGTGCGCAGACATGGCTCGACCACTAACACAGCTGCTGAAGAAAGGCGCTAAATGGCTCTAGAGCAGCGAGCAACCAGCGGCTTTCGACATATTTCTGATAGCAATTTCCAGCAATGCCTCCCTTCAGCTGCCAGATCTAAACAAATCTTTTTTGTTGCAGACCGATGCAAGTGACTATGGCCATGGCACAGCACCTTTACAGGAGTGCGTCAGCGCTCATAGACCCGTTGCTTTTGCGAGCCACACTTAGACTGGTGCGGAACGCAACTACCTGAGAAGGTATGTGTGCCCATCATTTCTACGTTAAAGAAGTTTGAGATGTTTTTGGGTGGGGCTTAGTTTGTTATTCAGACTGACCATCAAGCACTGTCTTGGCTGAAACGGTTACCTAACCCCTCCAAACGACTGGCTCGATGGGCGCTTACTTTGCAGTGCTACGATTATGTCATTGAGTACAAGAAGTGTAGCACTAACACAATTGCTGACGCACTTTCACCCGTGCCGTTGAGCCCCAGGTAGAGCCGGAAACCCTGTGTGTGGTCACTATGCCACCAGAAATCATGCATTCCCTTTGGGGTACTTTGGTGACTGAACAGGAACTTCTTCCCGCGCAGCTGGAAGGTGGCTTCTGTCGTAAAGGGTCAGAAAAGCTTGCTGCTCATGATCCAGCTGACACAGGAAGTGACAAGGAAACAGGCTGCTACCTGCTTGGCGAAGGAGGCCTGTTGTTCTAATATTTTCGCCAGGTTGTCGATGGTAACGTGAAATCACATTTCGAGTTGTTATCCCACGCAAACTTAGCAAGTCCTTCATAACGTACTACCCCGACAGTGCTCTAGCTGGTCACTCGTGAGGGCAGAAAACTTATGAGAAGCTGTGTCGCATAGTTGTGGCCAGGCACAAAACAAGATGTGTTACACTATGCGCGTTCTTGTTGAGTTTTTCAAAAGCTAAAACCACGAGGTGGTTTACCGCTAGGACCAATGCAATCAGTTGAGAGTACGTCACCATGGCAAATAGTCGCATGTTTTGTTATCGGTCCATTTCCAATGAGTCCGTGGCGAAACTATTAACCTGCTCGTTTTGACTGACCGTTTCACGAAATGGGTGAAATTGTGTTCTTTGCGCAAGCTGACTTTGCAGAAAGTATAGGACTGCCTTCTCGAAACCTTCACCAGGTTCGGATTATCTGATCACGGACAACGCAACATACTTCACCAGCAAAGTGTTCATGGATTCTTGTGACACCCTGGGAATTCGTCACAAGCACACGTCTGTGTATCACCTGCAAGCCAGCATCACAGAAAGGGTAAACCGAAATCTTAAATATATGCTTGTCAT